ACACGAGTCTTTGTGTAAGTGTTAAAGTGCTTTAGCCACTCTACGCCTAGCTTGTTGTTTGTCTAGCTATTGTTGCTAACTGCAATTGCCTAGTCGCGTGGGATATCCTCCTCGTACCAGGCAGAGAGGTGGTACTTGCTAGCAAAGATGAGGAATGGTGGGACTGACCAGCTAGCTGCGTTGATTGCAGCGATCAACGTCACCCACTCACGATTGCCTGGCTGGATAGCCTTTGGCCTGCCTCTCCTCTCTAACCCTGTCACGACAAGCTAAGTCGTGATCTTGCCTATTATAAAGCTAGCCTTGTTAAAGTTGTAGACGTGATTATCGCAGATGCTGTACTTGGCCTTTGTCTCCTCTACAAGCTTAAACCAGCTCCTTATTAGGGCTGGATCCTCACACTGGGCTCTCTGTCTATTGTACGCTCGATTGAAACGCGTCGTGAGACTGTCTGTACGCTTGACAAAGTTGCGCGGCCAGTGGACGCCTACCTGACCAGCGCCGCGCGCAGCCAGCAGCTTATCAGCCATATCACGTACAGCATCGTACGTAGGCGCAAATCCACGTGTATCCAAGTCGAGTATATGTCTGATAATCACCTGCTCCTCTAGCTTGGTGAGCTTCTTTGAGTTGGGCTGGCAATCGCGTCAGGCGCGCGTCCTAGCGCGTCAGCGTTGGAGGGTAGTTCAAGAGACTCCGTACGTATAGGCAGCAGATCTCTTAGTTGATATTTGGCGTTGATTAAGAGCTAAGATTGCGAGGTTTACATCAGCCTTATAAGAGCTGTTTTGGCTGTGGTGGGAGGGGGCCATGGTTGATTGAAGTATACACGTTGCGCAAAGTTAGTGGGGTGGCCCGCTCGCTTGTATGGCCCGCTCGCTTGTAAAACATGTTATTCTTTGATGGAATAGATGGCTACGCCTCTACACCAGTGATCAAGGAGGTGATCGAGCTACTCGAATATCCAGAGATGCCGCAGGATGATGATGTCAGCATCGACGACCTGCTGACCGCGCGCCAACGCAGCCGCCAAACAACACCTGTGACCTCAGCTCCGACAGCTAGAGGCTCCCAGTTGGGGGGTAAGATGGCTGACAACGCACTCGAATCTGACAACACACTGCTAACCTCTACATTACCTGAGGAGGACACAATACACATAGTTCCTAAGGGCTACTACCAACAAGGCAAGAAAGCGCCACAGGACGTTAATCTTGATCTAACTAACACAAACCTAATTGTCTTAGGCAAGCGCAATTAAAAGCTAAGGGATCTAAACAACTTTGTAGTATAGATCTACGCAGCAAGGATAGGACCTAAGCCTCTTGTTAATTACCTGTGAGCGTTCTTAACTAAGATCCTCTCTAACAGAGCCTCAGCTAGCGCAGATAAAGTACTACAAATCTATTAGTCACAGCTGCCACCTCTGCTAAAGTTAGAAAACTGTCTTAATACACACATGTTCAGCAATCAATTCTAACGTGCTATAGAGATTAAATAGCAAGATCTATGCGCTAAAGGTGTCTTTAGACAGACAGAGTAATTAAAGGCTACTGCAGATAGTAAGGTACTACTACTAATATAGGTCTTTACTTACAAGACAGATAAAGCTAGATATCTCTTATAGTTTAAGGCTTAACTTATTATCTAAGGAGACCTCTAAGCTCTAATAGACAACACATACGCTGCTACACTTGCTATCTACAACTTTCATGCTCTTATTATAATTACTAATTACTTTAATCTTAAACTAAAGCAGTATAATATCCCTACTGCCTTCTTAAATGCAAAAACTAACTACAAGCTATACACTAAAACGCCTGAGGCCTTCCGCCATACTAAAGGCAAGATTATGCTGGTGCTCCGCGCCCTGTACGGCCTGAAGGAGTCACTAATCCTATAGTACAATGAGCTACGTTAACAGCTTGTAAAACTAGGCCTAAAGCCAGTTAACAGCTTCCTATGCCTATATACAAGCTGCTAGCTTATTATATTTGTCTACGTTAATAACATTATTATAGTGTTTTATTAATTAAATGCCTATTACTACTAGTCCTTTAAGAAGGATCTAGTAGACCTATATAATATTAAAGCAATAGGAGACCTTACCTAGTTTCTTAGTATCTGCATTGTCTGCAACTAAGCTCTGTACAAGACCTAGCTAGTCTAAGACGCTTTTATTAATAAGGTGTGCGCTTAATTTAGCATTAAGGCTGTGGGCAAGGCTCTAGACGTCCCACTGACGGAGAACTGGCTGCCACAGTCTACTAAGGAGACTGATACTGCTCATACAAAGCTCTACTAGCAGCTTGTTAGTTCTCTTGCATACATCGCTGTCTGGGGTAGACCTAACGTCTCCTAAACGCACGTTGTCTTTGCCTGCCACCTTATCAACCTAGGACAGTCTCACATCTCAAAGATCTGCCAGACCTGGCACTACCTGCTCAGCACGAAGGCTCTCGCCCTTGAAGCCTCTGCCAGCGCGCACGACATGGCTAAGTATCTCACTAACAATCCTACATACTGCAATCCTCTCTTCTTTAGATTATCTAATGCCTTGTATACTAACAAGCCTAAGACTTGCTAGAGCTCTTAGGGATACGCCTTTAAATTTAGAGGACTTATAATTAACTAGAAATTAACTATCTAGCGTATAGTTATAAAATTAACTATAGAGTCTAAATTACTCTTGCTCTCCCTTATAGCCTTGTAGATAGAAGAGTAGATATGTTTCTTTGCTAGTATTAACCTCACGCTTAACTATATACCTATAATCTAGTGTAATAACTAGCAGACTGTCTATATTGTTACAAAGGAGCACAACAAGCTTTATATAAAAGTTAAATATATTAATATCTATTAGCTCTAGATCTAATAGGAGGTTACTGCCTCACGTATTAATATTAAATAGGTACCTACTAATTACATGCCTACTAACAGACTTATAAAGATTCTACCTAAGTAGAAGTTTGCTAAGTTTATCTGCTAACTTAGTCTTGTTAATATTACTAAGCACCTAAAGGGCCTACGTTAGGCTAACAATAATAACATTAATACTATCTATTACCTACTAAATTAACACTAATTAGCTGTTGTTAACTCCCTGCTGTTAAGCCTACAGCAGCTAGGGGGTGTGTCACAGTTTGCGTGTCTCTTGCCTTATAGGCAACCTGCGCCTCACCTTTAGTAAGAGGCGACTCCCTGTTTTGCACTAGCGCTGTTTACAGCCACCTATGTAGATATACTGTTCGTAGCTTCACACAATACAACCTCAGTTCAATCCTCAATTCCTTGCGCACTGCTTGCACTCACTGCGACACTTTTAGACGGCAGAAAGCCTGGTGGCTGCATTGGAACTTCCGGCGTGGTCCGGCTTGCATCAGAGCCTAGATTAGCTCGGAACGTGCTTTCTTTGGCGCTGCCTAAGAACTGGTGCCATACATTGCTAATATAGAGGTACTGCTCTACTAGGTTGGGTTGCAGCTTAGCTGGATAGGCACGATCCAAAGCATATGCGCCGGCATGAGTAGCTGGATTATGTCCTGTCTGGAAAGAGAGAAGGCGGGTCAGTCCATCGTAGCCTCTTGGAGTGTTAGGATCGAAAGGCTGGACAATGTCCGGGAGATGTTTCTTGCTAATAGCTACTGCAATCTGGCGATAGATCTGAAAATGAAGCAGAATTGGACATTCCAGCGTGGATTGCTGCAGGATCTTCGAGCAGGCTGCTGAACTAAAACAAGACACAGGCGTGTCGTAAGCAGTGAACAAGTGTGGGTTGGTAGGAGCATCTGCATTGACGAGTTTCAACTGGCGGCTGAGAAAATCGTTGAATGGCCTGATGTATGCAAGGTGCAGGAAAAGACACTTCTCTACCAGCGCGCAGGGAACTCGAACAACGAAGAATGAATTGTTTGAGTTCTGGCTGGCTTTGTTATATGAGAAGATTAGCAAGATCCGACCCTGGCAGATGAAGATGTTGCGTTGCACTGCGGCAGTGTCCGCCCAGCGCATAACGCGGAGCTCTTCTCCTCTTGCAGGCATCCCGCTAGACACATGAATACTGCTAAACAATAGCATGACCATGTCGTTACACTTCTTTAGGTATGCCATCGCTTGCTCCCTGCCTTTGCCTCTCAGCGCAAAGCCTTTACCATCTTTGGAGAAGGCTCGACGGCTAAGATGCTTGAAGCTAGACTAGAGCTAATTTGCTGGCTCTTGTAGGAATGAATAGCCTGGTCGGTGCCTGGAAAGATCCTCTTTGATAGTGCCTAGATCCACGCTCGGCCACCAGTCGAACATGAGATCTCTCGTAGCCTGTTCGAGTCTGGCAAGGAGGCTATGGATAGTATGGCGGAATTCGTGCATAGAGATGCGGGAGCCGGCAATGTCTAGAGTCTGGCCATCTAGCGACCACGATAAGTTAGTGCGCGGTCCTTCGCGTTTTGCAATGGCCCTGCCATGCTGTAAACGCTCGATCAGATATCCCATAGGGGAGAGACTGCCACGCTGAAGGTATGTTGGGCGGATCCCTGCGCAGAGACGCTTCCCTTGATCGGCGTAGGCTGCTCGTGCTGGCCAGGGGACGTCGAGGGTAGTATACGCTCGCAGCGGCAAGGCATACTCAAGAATAAGAAGCCTGCCAACCCACAATAGAGCTGATAGGTACGGCGCGTAGTCGTACGCTGTACGATATGCCAACTCATAGGGATGGATACCCAGCACCCCAGAGAAGTGGACGATGGCTTTGCTTTCTAACACGCCGTCGGTGGACAGATCCATCCAGAACATCACGAGCAGCTGGAAAACAGTTTCTGATATTTGTAGGGAGGAAAGGGATCCTAGGTCGCCGGATCCTGTTGTGGTTAGACCTAACCAGACAAATTCCATTGTTTGTACCTGCACATTGGACAATTTAAGCCCGTACACATCGCTCAAGCTTTGGTCGAGCGTCTGACAGACGTGCCATGATCAGAACACATAGCATAGGAAGCGATTGAGGAAAGAGCGGTACCTAGCTTGTGTAGCTTCCCGTTGAGGTAGCTCGAAGGGATACGCGTAGAAGTGCGATCCCCAGCTTCGCAGCCAGCAGCGCATGACTCGTGGTGTCTGTTCAAGTGTCTCCTCGCACTGATCTAGCACAAGATGAACAATCTTTGTCAACTGTCTTAATCTAGATTCTAAATCTGCGCAGCTGATCCACTCGCTGCAGTTCTAGGTGCTGAGGTAAACTGCTCTATTCGTGGAGAGAGGTAATCTAGAGGTAGCAATAATCAGATAGAGCGGTTTTTGAGCAAACCACCGTGGCCAGCCACAACCCCGCAGCCAATTGGTCTTCTCGTCATGTTCGAGCTCATTGCTTAGGGACATCAATTCTCGATCTTGCTGTGAAAGCCTGGCTTCCTCCTCGGCTTCCATCTGCAACAGGGCGGCAGTCGCGGGCTCGTCTAATGCAGATCGGTCCCGGCTTGATCCTAACCTGCCACGATTTGTGTCGGTAGCATCTTCGATTCGCCAGCTTCCTCCCAGGTTCTGTCTAGTAGTGGGCCATCGTTGGAGGAAGCAGGACAGGTCATTGCGTGTCCTTCCTCCTCTACTGCACCTTGTTTTCCAAAAGTGCTGCAGGATCATGTCCCAACTACAAGTCGTCCAGTCGCACTGCGGGCAGAAGTATCCCCGCTCAGGCGGCGCAAGAAAATCCAATGCGCAGGACTTGCTTGGGAGAGGTACGACATCTGCATCAGTTTGCAATACCGGAAGCGCATCGTACCGAGAGACAATAGCTTTGCAGACTAGTGTTCGGATTTTGTGGTAGTCGCGGAGGTGGTGGTAGAGCGTCTTGTAGGGCACGACGCTTCTGCAAGGATTGCACAACAAGTGCCCATGTTCTGGCAGATGGGAGATGACATCTGGAATTTCCGGCTCCGCAGGCTATTGCATTGTCAGCGGGTGAAGAATTGGGTGGGGATCAAGGACGCTGCAGCAGCTACGCTGCCCACATGCCTCGTTCTTTGCAGGGTCGCCCGTACAGACAGTCCAAGAGGAAGGCGCAGAGGTGCTGTTAAGAGGTGCGCTCTCTCCTGGGTTGCCTACGTAAACTGTCCAGCGGGACATAGCAACACTGCCCTATTGGCACCACTGCACAATTTATTGACTGGGCTGTGGCTTTACAGAAATGACGTAGACAGGTATATAATGTTAACAGGGGAAACAGAGAGCAGAGGCAAAAAGCAGGGCCTGCTACATGTGCAGTATCACTGAACATACACGTCCATACAGGGTGGAGCTAAACCGGAATAAATCACAAAAAGGGGTCGACTCCAGACTAAGGCTGAAAGGGGGCGATTCAGGGCGGGAATCGCGCGCTAGACCGAATTGGGCCCGAACCAGGCCCGGATCGTGGCGGTCGCGTGGAGGTAGGCTAGCAGGCTTGTGACGCGTTTAGACGAGCTTAAAATAGCCTTTAATTAAGCAAAGGATAGTTAGAGGATACTACAGGAAGATCCTAAGATAATTAGCGCGTGGTTTAAGCTAGTAGAGGATACTTAAGTTAAGTATAGTATTTGCAACAATAATATACATAACTTTAATAAAACTAGGTTTTAGATAGGCATTGCTTTGTCTTTAAAGGTTGTAATAGGCTTAGAGAGACGTGCTTAGCTAGAGCTTGTTTAGCCAGGCAATTGCGAGTGGGTTACTGTTATCTAGAGCATCTGCGCTGCTAGGTATGCAACCCTACCTTTTATTATCTACAAAGGACGCGTCTATATCTCTGCCTAGTATAAGGAGACAGATATACTATATAATTAGAAGCTCTTAGTCTCTAAGAATAGTTAGATAAATAATATACTTAGCCTTAAGTAGTTAAAGCACTTTAACACACATATAAAGACATGTTAGGTAGGAGTATATAGGTTGCTTATCTTAGACAGCTATAAGAGCTATCTTGACTAGGATTTTAAGGACTATTACCTAGAGAACTAAATCCTTACTCTCTATATACTACCTTACTTGTTACATATCCTCTAGCTACTTAATATAGTCTATTTCTTACTATTACAGTGTAAGTACTCCTAATATAACGTAGTTCACAAGCGAGCGGTCCAACCCAAGCGAGCGGTCCATCCTAACCATGATAGCCTAATAACTACTTTGCATTACAATGCCATCCTAACACAACGTGCAATTAACCTATACTAAAGGGACCTTATAGCTTGCTATCTAAGCTATAATTAAAGATTACAATAAGAGTAAAACACGCGCTATTACAGCCTTCAGCGTACCTTAAACTACTATCTACTAACAACACTAAGGAGTCCTCTCTTAACGTGATCGCGAGCCTAATTTAAAGAAGCTAAGTAAACTAGAGGAGGAGGCCCTTGTACAACGTATACTTGAGCTTGATACAAGAGGAATACCTGCTACAAAGGCTATGGTGCGAGATATAGCTAATGATCTGCTTGCTGAGCGCGGTGGAGAGCCTGTTGGCAAGCACTGGGTAGACAACTTCAAGACGCGTACGCCTGAGATCAAGCTTCGAAGGAGCCGTCCATATGATCGCCAGCGAGCCCTTAACAAAGATGCACGCGTTATAACGCCCTAGTTTGAGCTAGTTGCTAACACAAAGGCCAAGTACAGCATCACAGACAAAGACATGTACAACTTTAACAAGACAGGCTTTATAATAGGGGTTATCTATAGCTAGATAGTCTTTACAGGCTCTAAGAAGCGTAGCACAAAGAGCCTGCAGCTAGGGAACTGTGGTTAGGTTACTAATATACAAGGAGTTAACGCTAAAGGATAGGCTATCCTACCCTTCCTTATCTTCCCTAGTAAGGTCCTTATTACCTTATAGTTTCACAATCTACCTTAGGATTAGGTAATTAAGGTTAGTCCTAATAGCTAGATGTTAAATAAGCTTGGTATTGCCTAGCTGAAGCACTTCAATACCCATACAAAAGACTAGAAGGTGGGTGCACACAGGCTGCTGATTGTGGACGGCCATGAGAGCCACAGCTCACATGAGTTCCACAAACACTGTAACGTAAACCCCCAGCACCTGGGCCAACCTAGCACCCGGGCCAAAAAAGCTTGGCAGTACCAACTCACGTTACAACTCTTCAATTTCATCACTATTTTACATAGAGCCTATGTACGCTGTGCTTGTATCTAATTTAGAATATGCCTCTATATCTTTTTTGCACGTTTGCGCGTTATGTCTAGTCCCTCTATAGTTTCTACAGCGCTGTAGAGCTAGTTAAGCTTGTTCTTAATTACTACTACTACAAGCCTTCTTTGACTGCTCAGCAGCTACAGAGGCCTCTGCAGCTACCTGAGCTGCTGCCTCACCATACTCTATAGTACTACCTTGCTAGATCTGCTTCCTTTTGCGCGATTTCTGCTTAGTTATTACTACTAATTGCTCTTTAAGCTTAGTAATCTAGGCTGCTTAAAGCGCGTTCTAATGTAGCATAAGCTTGCCACCTCTAACAAGCTAAGAGAAGCCTGCTTGTGTAGTAATAGGTAACTAAGTAAAAGACTTACGTACAAGCTTTAACTAAGATCTAAACTTGTAGGTATTACTTAGAGTCTTTAACTACTACAGCGTCTCTAGGAGGAGGGGTTCTAGCAGGGTACATAGGCGCACTTTAAGGCAATCTAACACAACCTGCGCGTTAAGAGGGACTAGCCCTGCTGCCTTAAAGGCCTTGTAATAGTTCTCTGCTATAAACATGTTAAAAAATATGTCCTTAAAGGTAGGGAGAAAGCCTTCTTTATTAATATAGAAGACGCGCTTACATGCTAAGTCTTGTACACACTAAGAGTACTTATACTTTAATAGCAAGAAGTAGACTATATTAAGCAGCTAGAGGATATATAATAAGTAAGGTAGTATGTAGAGGGTAAGCATTATGTTTTTAAGGCAGTAGTCCTTAAAATCCTAGTTAAGGTGGCTGTTATAGCTGTCTAAAATAAGCAGCCTGTACGCCCCCACCTAGCTCGCCTTTGTATGCGCGTCAAAGTGCTTCAGCCACTCAAGGCCGAGCGCGTTGTTCGTCCAGCCGCTCTCAGAGACGGAGAGCTTCCAATTGCATGGTATATCTGCCTTCTCATACTAGGCAGAGATGTGAACACGTCCTTTGTAGATAATAAAAGGCAAGGTACAAGATCTAGCAGCGCAGACGCTCTAGATAACTGTTACCTACTCGCAATTACCTGGCTAAACAAGCTAAGGTTAATTACGTCTCTCTACGCCTGTGACAACCTTTATTAAGCTAATAACACCTACATTAGGAAAAGTTTTTCGAAATCTGGCCTAGACCAGCTGTTGCTGACAGTCGTGGCATGGTTGTGCAATGGCCGTTCAACGGCCCTAACAGCCCCAATTTGCGCCTAACAGCCCTAATTTCGCGCTAATATTGCTAACAGCTAAAACGCTAAGTGCCTATATTTAATAAACTTAAAATAATGTTGCAATGTTATTGCATAGCTACCCTTAGTGCTAGCACTAGCATTAAATATTTAAAAATTGCGAAATTTCATGTACAGATAGAGCGAAATTGTAGCTTTAAAATAAGCGAAAAATTATTGTTGTAGGCCTACTACAATGCAAGTTATAGAGCGTTGAAGGTTTGTTTGTTGAAGGTTTGTGTTTTGAAGTTGCAACAGCACACCACACCGTAGCAGCTGCAGCTGCGCCCGCACAACGTAGCAGCTGCAACAGCATACAGCATGGCACCTGCTGACCCCAACACACACACACACACACACACACACAGCAGCAGCGCAACAGGAGCTTGCAGAACAGGCAGGCCTAGGCGTAAAATTCTTGGTTTACCTACTATTCTTGAATAATATTCTTATATTTTCTAATATTTAGGCTGCTAGAGCCCTAGCAAAGAATCTTAACTTAGTGTCTTAGCAAGGAACATTAAGCTTAAAACCTTCTACACTTAATAACTATTCTATTACTAACGTAAACCCCCAGCACCCAGGCCAACCCAGCACCCAGGCCATTTCTTGCCAAGACCACAACTATTAATATTAACACGTAATGCCTTGCTAACAAGATATGTAATTATCTAAACAAGAGGGTAGAATTAATCTTGCCCTTTCTACTTTCTAATTATATAAATTTAAAAGCCTCTAAAGTGCTGCTTAGGCATTTAACATACCACGTACAACCTTAAGTGCTAGGTATAGAGGCAGACTCTATATTAATAATAGACATAACGCACAATATAAGCTTACGCGCACTAAAGAGCAAACAATTATACAATACATTCTTGACCTTAATTCACAAGGATTCGCGCCCTGGCTGTGCGAGGTGGCAGATATGGCCAACAAACTGTTGGGTGTACGCGGTGGGTAGCCTGTTGGCAAGCACTAGGCTGAGCGCTTCGTGACGCGTTCAGCTACGCTCAAGATAGCCTTTAATCAAGCCAAAGATAGGCAGAGGATACTGCAGGAGGATCTAGAGACAATCAGCGCGTGGTTTAAGCTAGTAGAGGACACAAAAGCTAAATACAGCGTACACAACCACAACGTGCACAACTTTAATAAGACTAGCTTCTAGATAGGTGTTATTAGCTTAATAAAGGTTGTTACAGGTGTAGAGAGACGTAATTAACCTTAGCTTGTTTAGCTAGGTAATTGCAAGTAGGTAACAGTTATCTAGAGCGTCTGCGCTGCTAGATCTTGTACCCTGCCTTTCATTATCTACAAAGGACGCGTTCACATCTCTGCCTAGTACGAGGAGGCAGATATACCACGCAATTGGAAGCTCTCTGTCTCTAAGAGCGGCTGGACAAACAACGCGCTCGGCCTTGAGTGGCTGAAGCACTTCGACGCGCATACAAAGGCGAGCCAGGTAGGGGCGTACAGGCTGCTCATTTTAGACAGCCATAAGAGCCACCTTAACTAGGATTTTAAGGACTACTACCTTAAAAACATAATCCTTACCCTCTGCATACTACCTTACTTATTATACATCCTCTAGCTACTTAATATAGTCTACTTCTTACTATTAAAGTATAAGTACTCTTAGCGCGTACAAGACTTAGCACGTAAGCATGTCTTCTATATTAATAAAGAAGGCTTCCTCCCTACCTTTAAGGACGTGTTTTTTAATATATTTACAGCAGAGAACTATTATAAGGCCTTTAAGGTAGTAAGGCTAGTCCCTCTTAACACGCAGGTTGTGTTAGATTACCTTAAAGTGCGCCTGTGTACCCTACTAGAACCCCTCCTCCTAGAGACGCTGTAGCAGTTAAAGACTCTAAGTAATACCTACAAGTTTAGATCTTAGTTAAAGCTTGTACGCAAGTCTTTTACTTAGTTACCTATTACTGCGCAAGTAGGCTTCTCTTAGCTTGTTAGAGGCAGTAAGCTTATGCTGTATTAGAACGCACTTTAAGCAGCCCAGATTACTAAGCTTAAAGAGCAATTAGCAGTAATAACTAAGTAGAAATCGCGCAAAAGGAAGCAGATCTAGCAAGGTGGTACTATAGAGTATGGTGAGGCAGCAGCTTAGGTGGCTGCAGAGGCCTCTGTAGCCGCTAAGCAGTCAAAGAAGGCTTGTAGTAGTAGTAATCAAGAATAAGCTTAACTAGCTCTACAGCGCTGTAGAAACTGTGGAGGGACTAGACACAACGCGCAAACGTGCAAAAAAGATATAGAGGCATATTCTAAATTAGATACAAGCACAGCGTACGCAGGCTCTATATTAAATAGCAATGAAATTGAAGAGTTGTAACGTGAGTTGGTACTGCCAAGCTTTTTTGGCCCGGGTGCTGGGTTGGCCC